TATCCCCATGGAGTATCCGTGCAGAGTGTGAGAAATGATGATTTTGTACCACTCGGAGCGGACTAAGGACTACGGCGATATCGCCGGGGTTCGGCGGCGGACGTTATCCCGGGCCGGCCGTACTTGGTAAGCTGAACAAGCTGTGCAAAGACCCCACCCGAGACATAAAGCGGTTGGCTTGATCGGCCGGACGGAAACACAGTGGCGAGCGCAGAGCTCGGGCGAGTAGTTCAATCTGGGTTTAGGAGCTGATAGCAGCGCTTGCGGCGTAAGGGGACGATGGCTGATGACGATGCAGTCTCTGATGGGGGCTGAACTGAATGCTCTAATGCTCCAGCGTCAGCGAGATGAGAGATGAGAGGCCGTCGATAACAGACCCATTGTTCGGCCCCGGATTGGGGTGCTTTGTCCGCTCCTTGAATCCGTCTTCTGTGTGGTCAACCCTGATCCTGGCCGCTTCCGCTCCTGAGTGCCCTGCAAGATTGGCGACGTTGAGCCAGGGGCGCATACGTTAGGTGGTTCAGAGATATTGCGTGCGTTTGATCTGTCATAAGCGTTACGTCTTCAAGCGGCACGCTGGCACTGCCTTCGTTTTCTTTTTGAACGCGGGGGATGCATATCCGTAGGGAACGAGACGTGTCGGTACAAACTTGGATGTCGTTGGGTGCGGCGGCAGGCAAAATCTTCTCTAGCACAGATGTAAGCCGAGAAACCCAAGCAGGACACTGACCAGATGGTCGGTGCAATCCATACGTCCAAGGTGCCGGGCTTGCACGGAGACACCTTAATCGAAATCGGTTCGACTGCCGACGGCCAGGGGCATTGTAAAAGTGGGAGAGGGCAGCGGCGCGCTGATGCTCAAAATGGTAGATAGGACTGCGTTATTCGGGAGCAACGAGCTGAAGCGGGATGTCGGCTGCACTGGCCTGTCCAAAGTAGGACATCGCCCGTAGCTGATTGCCGGAACTTCTGCAGCAAAGCAAGCAAGTCGACACCATCTTGGACGGCTGAGTGTCAAGAGCCCTGGCCCAATTCCCGCACATGACCAGCTAGTATTTGCCCGACAGGCCAGTTTTTACTAGGGACGAGCGGCGCAGGCCGGTCTACTGTGTAGACTAGACCGTCTAGTCCAGGAGGCGCGCATGGAAAGGCAAGGCACAGTAGATAGGTTGATGGATCCCTCGGAGGCCATGGTGTGCTGCATGCATTGAGATCTCCGCAACGGTGCAGCATCATGGCGGAGAGGTTGGCGAGTTGGCGGAGACAGGAGGGCTTGGAGGGCTTCGAGTGGCCATGATGGAATTCCAACTAGAGCTGTCTAGGTACCTGTGGGAGCCTGTAATTCAGGACTAATCTATGACGGCGACTAGCCAGTCGGGCGTGCGATGCGAGATGAGTGCGGCCTCACTGGCTTCATGTTGGAGAGGCCACATGGGCATTGGCTTGGGTCCCTTTATTAGCGTTGATGGTTGATGCGATGCAACGCGATGCCATGCCATGCGAGGCCTGCATGTGCTGCATATTTGAGTGCGCCCGCCCGCCCGCCCAACTGCAGGTTCAAGACAATTAGATCTGATATGTCGCTGGACTAATTAGACCAGACCAGACTTGGATGCTGCATACTGCGTACACTGAGGCGGCGATAAAAAAGCTTGGACACCTGTGCGGATGAGAACGAGTGGGGAGCAAGGTCGAAGGTTCGGTCCCTGAGATCCGCTCCGCGGCGTCGTAGGAGACAAAGTGCGCGGCGTACCAGTATGCTCCACGGATGCTGCGGCGGTCAAAAAAGTGACGAGAGAGGGGACAGCTCTTGGTTTACAAGATATGGTCTGATGCTGATGTCTCTTAAAGTAGCGGTGGGGGAAGAGGTATGGAGATTCTCATCGACCGACGCGTTCGAGATCCGTCTCTCTGACAACGACTTCAAGCTGGAGACTGGAATTACAGGTATCCGTATCCGTACGTCTGCGTCAAGTGACGAAAAGTCTCCGGCGGCCATTTTTGTTCGCCTCTCTTGTCTCCCCTGTCGTTGTCGGCAGGAGCAGCCGCAGAGCAAGGCCAGCAAGCGGTGTTGTGTCGCATTAAAGGCTCGGAACGGCACATGAGCAGGACTAGTGCAGAGTCGCAAGAGTCAGGAACGACGGTGGCTGTTTTCTAGCTGATGTGATGCGATTTGCGAACCAACATAGGACGTTGTATGGAAATGGCACGCATGACGCGTGTGAAGGGTATAATAGTGGCTGGCGTGTCGTTGAGAAGAAAACCAGCCCGTGGCACCGTGTATGGAGTACGAAGTGTTTCCGAAGTGGTGCAGGAATGCGCTCGGTACCAGAGCAGCGGTGATTGATGAGCTCCCCTCCGGGTTAGGCGTTCAAGATGGAGGTGGGTAATGTGAAGTTGCAATGACATGCCACACACAGCCATGTATGACACAGGCTACGATCCGGCTCCCGAGATGGCGTCCTCCATTGTTGTCTTGCTCACCATGTTCTGACTCTTTGGGGAGACGGCCTGAAACTGTACAACGCTGACTGCCGCCAACAACCGGAGCCGGGACGATAGCCGGTTCCTACTGGTCTTGGTGTTGGAGTTTTTGGGGAAACAAACGGCTCGACCGATGACGCCGCAAAGTCAGCTAGGCAGTTGAGGTGGAGAAGCGGTGGCTGATAGGATGAAATGCGATGCCGTCTCAAGTCGATTCAATCTGATGGGAAAGTGCGGATGGCGTATGAGTTGACAACGAAAGCCGACGAGGACATCAAAGAAGCGGACGGTAGAAGAGGCGCTAGAGGATAGTCAGAGACACGGCTTCGGGCGGATGGAATAAAAGCCAGTGAGGATGTCTGCAAACGGCGATGGAGTCGAAACGGCGCCAGCGTCATCTGAAAGCAGTCAAGCTCTTGGTGTCTATATCCCATACAGTACTCCGTAAGTGAGTAAGGTATTCGTCGTCAGTACTGCGTAGGCCACAGGAATGTTTCTCCCTGGAATTGCGGCATTGGTTGCGTGTGTGTGTGAGTGTGTGTGTCCCTGGAGAAGTCGAGAGGGTTTGACGGGAATGACAGGCAGGGGAGAGGTGGGTAGTGGACGGAGGAAAAGACCAGAGCTCGCAGCTGGACCGGGGCCGCTGCAGGGGCATAGCAGGGATGAGAGAGGGTGAGCCAGGGCCAGCATGGCTAGAAGAGGGCTAATGTGTTTCTCTTTTAGCGATAGAAGTCTTCGAGTGTTTCTGCCCCTCTACTGCGCAGTAAGAGGTCCTCTCGCGTCTCGGCGCCCCTCGGTTCCTGACAGTGGAAGCGTCACGATGTGGACGACGCAGTCTCGTGGTGGAGCGACTCTGGCTGTAGAATTGCATTCGTAGCCAGTAGTCTGCTGATGCCCTGTATGCGTACGAATAGTCTCCGTGGCGATGGAACATGACCGTCGAGGTAGACAGGGCTCATCCATCTGACAGCGCTTCTGCCGTGTGTGGCGTGGCTCTCTTCTTCTCGTTCTTCTCGTTCTTGTTCTTCTTCTCCTATTGCCTTATCTCCGTGTTTCCGCGTTTCCGCTTCTTTCGAATTGCATCCACTCCGGACTCTTTCTCTTTTGGTCCAGGGGCTTCCGAGGAGAGGTAGGGAGGCATCTCATGTAGATGGTGCGCCTAGAGACTTGAATGCACGGCATGGTTTTGGGAGAGGGAGAGAGAGAAGCAGTCGTCTACGCCGCTGGCTCCAAGACCGAGTCTCTCCATGTGTGTGCTGCCATGAGCATGATGCACAGTGACTGTACAGGTACTGTGATGCAAGTCAGTTGGAAGAGGATGCGTCCCAAGATGGTCTCAGAATAAGGTGAGGTCTGTCTGGAGAGAGAAAAGATTCCATACGGAGTACGGAGTACCTGCGCAGTAGAGTCAATGACAGCGATACGTACCGTGGTAAGGTGGTATCCACTCTCGAACCCATCTGGTTCCGATAGCAGCGTGTCATTGGATGAGATGAGATGCCAGTGGAAGTGCCCCCAAGATGCAAAGCGGTCTCGAAGAAGGACGGGTCAGGGACATCCCCGTCCCTGCTCCAATGGTCCTGCCCTGAACCCGGTACTTGCGGGTTGCACTTGCCGTCGTTGCTTTGCGCAGGTACCGTTCGTTCCTTCCATTCTTTTCCCCTTCCAAGACTGGACGGCAAGACCACAGGGCACTCAACAGTCGACACAGGCACAGGCACACAGGGCAGGCACGGCAGGGACCCGATTTAATTTTCATTTTTTCTTCTTCCTTGCCTTCCTCCTTGGCCCCCCCCCCCCCCCCCCCCCCCCCCCCCCCCCCCCCCCCCCCCCCCCCCCCCCCCCCCCCCCCCCCCACCAAACCCACCCCACACCAAGCGGGCGGCGCACGAAACCGGCGAAACTGACGTAAGGCATCCCCCCCCCCCCCTCCTTTCTTCCCACCCCCCCCCCGTCCCCCCCCCCCCCCCCCCCGGCGGAGAGCACCCTGTCCTTGACATCCCAACCGCGACCAGCGCCGGAACGTATCGAATGTACCTCAAGAGCGGGCAGTGACAAGCAGCGAGTATTTCTCAAGGTATCCATCCCTTGACCTTGTGTCGTTCCACGCAATAAAAGTACCTGGTTCGGTAGTGTATTTTCTCCTATTCCACTCCGTACTACGTACTTTTGCCTACAAATATGACATATGTACGTAACTATGAATGCGTCTATCTACGTCCGTACCTCTGCGTTGGAAGGGGGTTCTGCAGTCAGAGCCAACAAAGAAGACGTGGAAATGTGACAAAAGAGAGCGAGAGATATCTATGTCACTACTGCGTAGGGAAGGAGGTAGTGACATGGAAGTAAAAAAGTGTTTGCTACGCTACATTTGAAATACACGTGCGAGGCAGATGCGCATATCCACCATTCCAACATTTCACCCCCGATCCAGTCCCAGTGAGTCCAGTCCAGTCCTTCCCGTCAAGTCTTCGCGCCTTGGGTCTTGGACCTTGCTTGGTCTTGCTTAATTTCGCCTACCGCATAGTACGGACCGCTCCAGGACGGTGCGGTAAGGCATGGTCTCCGTATAGCCTCCACTTACCTCTACGTAGCAAGGTACTCTTCTGCTTCTGCTTCTGCTTCTGCTTCTGCTTCTGCTTCTGCTTCTGCTTCTGCTTCTGCTTCTGCTTCTGCTTCTGCTTCTGCTTCTGCTTCTGCTTCTGCTTCTTTTGCTCCATTCTCATACTGCGCACTGCGTATGTACTCCGTAGGTTATTCTCCTAGACTCCTAGTACCTTGTCGTCCGTCCTGCCTCCCTTTCCTTCAGTCAGTCCCCATCACTTGTCTCCTCTCTGGCTCCATGTCACTGCGGGTTGTGGACTGGCCCTCGCAGTATCTCCCGTCTTCAGCGTGGAATCGTAATCATTCCCAGCTCGTCCTTACCCACACCCCCAACATCTCATCCGCTTCATTCGCCGTTAATGACTACAATTTTAAACCAAGAGAAGTGCTACCCTCCGCACCAGCAATCCAGTCTGCCTCTCTTCATGCCATTGTTCGCTGGCTCCGTCCCTGGAGCTTGAACCCCCTCCCTCAATCTCCTGCAGACCGCCTTCGCGGCTCGCCTTGGCCTTGCACTTACCTTAGTAACGGATTCCCGTCCCCTTCACCACCTCACCCCCCTCCCCTCCTCCATTATTGGCGGCCCCCATCCACCACGACCACACTACTACCACCGCTTACCTACTTCACACACACCTTACACCTCTTTCTCTACTTTCCTCCGCCATCGCGCCTCATTTCTTCTTCTTCCTCTCCCAAGCCGGCCCAGCCTCTGCTTCAACACAAACCGTTGTTTATTCTTCGCGCAGGCCAGGGGCGCTGGATCCAGAGACATCCATGGGAACAACTCACTGGTCCCTTTGTGCAGACCCGAGATACCGAATCCCCATCTCGACCCTGTAAACCTGTCCGTCCTCGATCCGACCTTTTCTTCTGCTGCATGCACAGCGCAACCGTCGTCAACCCTCGTTTAGACTGCATCCAGTCCTCCACCGCCGACGCCTGCTTTCAACATTAAGCATGCTTTTTTAATCCTCAACCTGATACCTTGGAGACCTTTCGAGTTCCTCTTTGGAGCAACGACGGTGCCTGGATACGCCTTACTAGTCACAACCCTTGTCTTAACCTCTTCCATCAGCCATGGAAACTTGCGAGGGAGTTCTCTTGATACCCCCTGATCGGGGCCAGATCTTGGGGCGCGCCATCTGGAAGGTATGGGATTGCGTTCGAACTCTCTGCAATATTGCCGTCCAAGAATTTTGTCTCTGACATTTTACTTCTTCTTTCTAGCCACGATATGTTGTTGTGGGAGGGCGTAGTGTCTACAGAGAAGCCGTCACCAGTCCGACTTTCCCTCAAAATGCCGCTTCAACCCGCTCCAACGGGACCGGCACCAGATCCCAGCCGCGGACCCCTGGCAACGACGACTACTACATCTCCATCTTCAAGTCAAAGGTAAGGCTCAACATGACGGAGTTCTCTGGCCCAAACCTAAGCCACCTGAACTTGCAGGACGACTGGGAGCCCTCCTACCAATACCCCGTCAGCTCTGTCATAGACTGTCAGGTGCAGATGCTCGCCCATCGCAAGCAGGGCCCCGTTCTGCCCACTCTCGTTATCACCATCAACGACAAGGAGAAGAAACGCCGTTCCAGTAGGGCTGCTGGCCTCATCTCGAGCAAAGAGTCCACTGCGACTACGCTCTGGTTTCGAACGCCCCCCGACGACCATCATATTAGTCTTCACGAATGGGCCCGGTTTATTATTTCGAGAAAACTTCCCATGAGCCCAGAAAGCCCGGCTTCTCCCTGTTTCACCAACCCCTTCGCCCAGCAGCGTTCTCGAGATGTTGATTACTTCCCTCGCCCTCCGAGTGGGAACCCGAATCCCCGTGGCACCCTGCAACACAAGAACTCGACGCAGACATACTCAAGCCGAGACCGACCCATCACTTTCAGCTCCGATTCTCCGAGTCTGCGTTCTAAGCGCAGTGATGTCTCGTCACCGACAAGTACTACCCATCCTGCTCATATGGGCTTCACCATCCCAGACCCCAACAAATACACTACTGTTCTCCCCAGCGACATCCCCTCGCCTGTCACAACGATGTCTATGAGCGACTATCAACGGAGCGAATTGATTGAGGGATGGACAGCGGCACAAGGACGTTCATCTACCATCAGCTCACCAATCCGCGGTCGAGGCAGCGTCAGCTCAGGAGGTGCCCAACCTTTTCCCGGTGCCGATTCTAATTCACCACCGAACCAGCGAGAGACGATCCTCGACCGTGCTTTCCAATTGCGCTGCATCCCTGGCTCCGAACTCGAGACTCCGGGTGAAGAGAAGCTCACATCGCTGGCTCGATTCGATGCATTGATGCGGGAGGCCGACGAGAAAATGCGCCAACAGGTGAAAGAAGCACATGCCGAGAAGATTGCGATGCTCAGCGCATTCGATGTCGATGAGGACTCATCCGAAGAGGAGGCTGATGACGACGAGGAAGATGAAGACGACGACGAGCATGACGAATATGCACACGAGGCGGATGCCAGTGGCAATCGCCAAACCTTGATCGCGCCCAATGCCCAACGCGCCCTCGAATATCTCGCCAGTCGTCAAGAGGAAGCCATGTCACCTCGCTCGCCCGTGATGAGGAGCCCGCCTGCCAACTTCAGTGTTCCCCTGCAGGCTCCTGCGCGGCCACACACGGCGCATTCTAGGATGCGGCCGGGTGTGACGCAAAGGACGTACAGCCAAACTCAGCCCATGGGCCAAGAGAGGCTCGATGTGCCAACCTCTTCATCCGGTAAGACATCCGATGATGCCAACTTCCGAACCAACGGGGAAAAGCGGGCGTCCGTCTCCAGCGCCAAGCGACTTAGCTTCAGCGAGTTCACCAAGCGTCTCTCGAGCACCAGCAGCTTACTTCTCGTCCAGACCAACACCAGCGGCGGGAGCAGTTGCGGCAGCAGCGAGTTCGACCCAAGTCCATCTCAGGTACCCAAAGGTACTTTGAACGCTAGGGGCGTTCCTCCGCGACCCCGAGACCTCGAGAGAGACGAGCAAGAACGGCGCTGTGGATGGCGAAACAGCATCGGCTTCACCGAGGGCGGTATGATTTGATCCGAATTACTACCGCCTGCCAACCGCCATGATTACCTACCCTCTTTACTATTGTCCACTCCGGCCGGATAGAACCCATACCATTATCCTTTCACCAAACCACAACCAACAGCTCAAACTTATACCCAACTCACGCCACAGCATAGTTGCTATATGTTGTACGATTTTTGATCTGACGATACCATTGTTTGCATCTAATAACGACTTATGATCGGGGTTCACAGAACACGGACCTGGCGTTTGATATTCGTTCTTATTCTCTACGCGTTGATTTCCCAGTTGGAAGTTTACAGCATCATTTCGAGGAGGGAGGCATTCATCAAAGGAAGCAGCACCTCGACGTCAGAGACTCGAGGCCTGGCGGAGTCGACAGAGTCCCTTCGGTACATCAAGGCACTCACTAGGCAAGCAATATGTCGGTCATACCACGTTGCGTCCTGCCCTTTCTTATGTATATGGCCAGTTTTGTCGTCCGTTGTCTGACGAGGCGGGTACCACATATTTTGCAGGACGCTACCTACGAGTTCCTGACTTTTATTTCTCAACGCAATTTACGTTCAGATGGACATATAGAAATGTTGTAGTACAAAGTTGACGAGGGTGGATGATATACCAATCTATGAAAAGCATTTGAAACATTTCATAACTTGTTCCTCTTACTGTCGCTGTTCTCTTGGCCTTGGCTTCTTTTCCCCCCAAGATAGAAAAAAACTTTTATCCTCCACAACGAGTCAACGACACCCAGTCTTCACCCACTGAAGGGAGATTGAAGCAGCGGTCAAACAGCCTCACTGACGTTCTGACAGTCATGACGTCCCCGCCCATTGTGGCACTGTTCATCTCATTTTCTAGCCCGCGACGTCCACGGGCGATTCCCGCGAGATCGGCGTCGTCGCCTTCCTTATTCCCACCATGTTTGCGGTTTTCCCAGTGTCCACAGTGCCACAGCAGAACAACCTCGTCCACCCAGGGGTCCCATATCGTCATGACAGAGAAAAACAGGGTCCTTTTTATTGGGTGTTCGTCTGTACTCTGCCGGGCGAACACTCCCACCCCCCGGCAAACACAATCAGTGGGTCAGGACACCCCAGTCTTTCTCAACGGGCTCGGCAAGCCCCCCACTTCGGAGAGGATCTGGAATCCTAGAAGGGAAAGGAAAAAGGTACGTGGAGTTCAACGCCCCCGTCGAGACGAAAACCTCCTTTTACAGGCCTCTGACTCTGTGTCTCTAAGGCCTTGTTTCCGACAGGCCTTGTTTCCGACGAGAGAGAGGGCGGAGAAAAATCAGAGTAAGCAGTATCCGTAGTTCCAGTCGCCACTACCACCCCATTTGCTGACCTGTGGCATCGCAGGCCAGGAGCCCTGGGAAGAGGAACCAGGGGCGGGATGAAATCAGTCGAAAGGGCCAATGTCGGTGAATTTGACCTTGTACGGAATACAGATAGTCGCTGAAGAACTTTTTCTTCTTCTCCTGCTACTTATTCAACATCCAAGTAGTTTTCTCCACAACTACATCTGCCTGCCAACAAAAACTTACACGGCATATTGGAAGGCAAAGACAAACGGACCTCGGGCGCGCCCGAGCTTTTTTCTTTCTTTGCGTTCTTCTGCCGCTCCCGGACCCCCTTTTTTCCTTCTGGAACTTCCGTTGCTTGTGGAGCATACAGTTTTTCTAGTCCTTCCAGAAGGACTATACGGCACTATACGGTATACGCAACTACCTTACGGATAGATTGCTATAGTAGAGTAAACCCTCGTGTTTAACAGAGTCTAACGACCAAATCGGCGGCGCCGATGACGGAAACAGGGAACCGGCCTGTCTACCTACTGTGCCAGCAAGAGAGTAGACCACACGTTGGCCTAGGCTCATTGGTTTCTGCGAGTGAATCTCGGGAGTTGCGACGCTGTCACGACACCCAGGACATTTCATCATCATCCACCGTTCCGCCCACCGTATACTACATACGACGCGAGCAAGGGGTGGTGGTGGTGGTAATTCTTTCCGCGTCCCTTCTTCTTTCTCCACAGCCGGGAATAATGGCAGATTGCAAGC